ATAAGCAACTATTGGCAGAAAGGTGGGCTGGTGCAAGTATAAGTAGTGGGGTGGTTGAAGAGGGTTGGAATAGTTTTAAAAATGCAATATTAGAATGTGGGACATAAGTTTGTGGTTATAGGAGGGTGCGTGCAGGAGGAAAGAGGAGTGATTGGTGGAATGATGAGTAAAGGGTGTGATAAAAGAAAAAAAGTTAGCTATATGAGAAGTTTTTACAAAGTCAGAAGTGTTATAAAGGAGTAGAGTATATCGAGAGTAAAAGAAAGGTTAAAGTGAGTGGTGAGAGAGTGCAAAAGAGAGCAGATGATAGAGTGGGAGAGCACTGTCAAAAAGTTTTAATGAAAATAAGAAAAAATTTGGAGTGAGTTAAACAAGTTAAGAAAGCCTAAGAAGAATGGGATTTGTCAGATAAAAAAGAGTAGGGGAGTAGTAGATGGAAGATGGAGGTACTGGGTAGATGGGCGAGAATATTTTGAGGAACTTTTAAATGTTGACGAAGGGAGGCGTAATTTCATGACTGGCCAGGAGGTATAACCATCTTTAGGATTGAAGAAGACAGGATGTGAGTTGGGGGAGTGCGTGAGGCATACGTAGAATGAAAGGGGTAAAGCAGCTGAATGACGGGATCATGACAGAAATGTTAAAAGCAGGGGGGGATATAGTGTTGGAGTGATTGGTATTTTTGTTTAATAAATGTATGAAAGAGGGGAAGGTACCTAGGGATTGGCAGAGAGCATATATAGTTCCTTTATATAAAGGGAAGGGTGACAAAAGAGATTGTAAAAATTATAGAGGAATAAGTTTACTGAGTATACCAGGAAAAGTGTACGGTAGGGTTATAATTGAAAGAATTAGAGGTAAGACAGAATGTAGGATTGTGGATGAGCAAGGAGGTTTTAGAGTGAGTAGGAGATGTGTAGTTCAAGTGTTTACATTGAAGCATATATGTGAACAGTATTTAGATAAAGGTAGGGAAGTTTTTTTGCATTTATGGATTTAGAAAAGGCATATGATTGAGTGGATAGGGGAGCAATGTGGGAGATGTTGCAAGTACAGTGAACCCCTGAGTTTCGGCAGCCTCGACTTTCGTGAAATTCGACCTTCGGCAAGTTTTTTTCGGAAAAATTTAGCCTCGAATTTCGTGAAAAGACACGTGTTTCAGCGACCGTCCGGTACCCGTCCACTCGTCACCGCGCACACCAAGTCAGTCTCCCACGCCATTCACCCTCAGTGTGCCATTGTTTACCAACACGTGACCATCACCCCGCGGGTTCATACAATACATTTCATAATAATCCATTGTTTTTGTGCTTGCATCTGCTAAATAAGTCATCATGGACCCAAGGAAAGCTAGTGCAAGCCCTTTGGTAAATAAAGTGAGTGACGGGGATGTGGAAGAGTTGGTGGAGGACCACAGGGAAGAGCTAACCACTGACGAACTGTAAGAGCTTCAACTGGAACAGCATCAGACCACAGCCGAGGAACTTGCTTCAGAGGAGGAGGAGGAAGAGGGAGTGGATGAGGTGCCTTCTTCAGTGATTAAGGACATGTGTGGAATGTGGAATGAGTTGCAAAGTTTTGTTTAAAAGTATCACCCTGACCAAGCTGAAACAAGCCATATCTGCAACATATACAATGACAGTGTTGTGTCCCACTTCAGGGAAATCTTAAAGAAACGCCAGAAAAAGACCTCTGGACGGATATTTTGTGCGACAGGGGTCCAGTGACTCTCAAGTTGTTCCCAGTGGCATTAAAAGAAGAAGGGAAGTAACCCCAGATAAGGACTTGCTACCTAAAGTCCTAATGGAAGGAGATTCTCCTTCCAAACAATAGTGTACACCTTCCTCCTATCCCCTCCTCCCATCTTCCATCCACGCATAAGTCTTCAGTAAAGATAAGTGTAATGTTATTATTATTTTTTTAAATGCATGTTCTTGATTTCTGATTGTTTTCATTACGTAAATCTTTATTTAATTTGAAAAAAATACTTTATTTTAATATTTTTGGGTGTCTGGAACGGATTAATTTTATTTCCATTATTTCTTATGGGAAAAATGGTTTCGAGTTTCGTGAATTTCGACCTTCGGCGGGCTCTCTGGAATGGATTAATCACGAAACTCGTGGGTCCACTGTATATGGAATAGGTGGTAAGTTACTAAATGCTGTAAAGAGTTTTTATGAGTATAGTGAGGCTCAGGTTAGGGTGTGTAGTAGAGAGGGAGACTACTTTCCGGTAAAAGTGGGTCTTAGACAGGGATGTATAATGTCACCATGGTTGTTTAATATATTTATAGATGGGGTTGTAAAAGAAGTAAATGCTAGGGTGTTCAGGAGAGGGGTGGGATTAAATTATGGGGAATTAAATACAAAATGGGAATTGACACAGTTGCTTTTTGCTGATGATACTGTGCTTAATGGAGATTCTAAAGTAAAATGGCAAAGGTTAGTGGAACGAGTTTCGGAGTGTGTGTAAGGGTAGAAAGTTGAAAGTGAACATAGAAAAGAGTAAGGTGATGAGGGTATCAAATAATTTAGATAAAGAAAAATTGGATATCAAATTGGGGAGGAGGAGTATGGAAGAAGTGAATGTTTTCAGATATTTGGGAGTTGACGTGTCGGTGGATGGATTTATGAAGGATGAAGTTAATCATAGAACTGATGAGGGAAAAAAGATAAGTGATGCGTTGAGGCATATGTGGAGACAAAAAACGTTATCTATGGAGGCAAAAAACGGAATGTATGAAAGTATAGTACAGTGGACCCCCGGTTAACGATATTTTTTCACTCCAGAAGTATGTTCAGGTGCCAGTACTGACCGAATTTGTTCCCATAAGGAATATTGTGAAGTAGATTAGTCCATTTCAGACCCCCAAACATACATGTACAAACGCACTTACATAAATACACTTACATAATTGGTCGCATTCGGAGGTGATCGTTATCCGGGGATCCACTGTAGTACCAACACTCTTATATGGGTGTGAAGCTTGGGTTGTAAATGCAGCAGCGAGGTATGGGTGTGAAGCTTGGGTTGTAAATGCAGCAGCGAGGAGGCGGTTGGAAGCAGTGGAGATGGAGATGTCCTGTCTAAGGGCAATGTGTGGTGTAAATATTATGTAGAAAACTCGGAGTGTGGAAATTAGGAGAAGGTGTGGAATTAATAAAAGTATTAGTCAGAGGGCTGAAGAGGGGATGTTGAGGTGGTTTGGTCATTTAGAGAGAATGGATCAAAGTAGAATGACATGGAGAGCATATAAATCTGTAGGGGAAGGAAGGCGGGGTAGGGGTCTTCCTCGAAAAGGTTGGAGGGAGGGGATAAAGGAGGTTTTGTGGGCGAGGAGCTTGGACTTCTAGCAAGTGTGCATGAGCGTGTTAGGTAGAAGTGAATGGAGACGAATGGTATTTGGGACCTGACGAGCTGTTGGAGTGTGAGCAGGGTAGTATTTAGTGAAGGGATGCAGGGAAACTGGTTATTTTACATAGCCAGACTTGAGTCTTGGAAATGGGAAGTACAATGCCTGGACTTTAAAGGAGGGGTTTAGGATATTGGCAGCTTGGAGGGATATGTTGTGTATCTTTATACGTATATACTTGTAAACTGTTGTATTCTGAGCACCTCTGCTCAGGGAGGCTCCATGACATACACACTCCCTCTTCACTTCTGCCCGGTAGACTAATTACCAGCAGGCAAAACACCATACAGTACTCTCGCATAAACAAGCCTCTGCATACTAGGGCCTTACAAATAAACATGAGAGCACTTAAACACAAACACCTATCATATACACTAAAAAAAAAAAAATTACCAAAATTACCTACTCAAACTACCGCCCAAAAATGATGACTTTACCTCCGTCACCACCCATCTGGTACCGAACTAAAAACACCTCATCTGCTCCTGTCCTGGCCACTGCCTAACTGACAGGAATAAAACATGTTCGCTTTCAGTTCCATCCCGGAACTGTTACATGGAAAATGACATTATATGTATATGGAGCGTTATTTTATATAAATATTTTTTTACAGTACTCCGCAACAGGCTCTTACCTTGTTGCTTGTATAAACTAGTCCCCAAAGAGGCCTGGTATAAATGATGAATATATAGAAAGAGGGTTGGTAATAGGTAATATTTATTTCAAGAAGACGAAAAATTAGTATATGAGATATGATGAACTGAGAAATGACAGCATTTTGCTAGACTATTTATTAATATATAAATATAGGTAAACTTCTGGATGTGCATGTTATTAGATGAGAGACAGATATGTCATATCAATTAAGTAGTAGCTACAGTAAGAGTAAGAGACAGGTGGAACACAAGATGAATAACATCAGTGGGTCCGAGATAAATGAAAGTGAATGAACTAAAGAACGAGGTAGTGGGGTATTAAAGTAACTAATGGAAGAAAGATGGGCTAAAGAGAGTACGTACAGGTAGTGAGATCAAAGCGGTATGGAGTAGATTAAGGAATGCAGTGTTAGAATGAGTAATAGTTTGTGATTATAAGAGGGTGAGTGTGGATGAGAAGAATTGTTGGTGGTATGATGTGGTAAAGTGAGTGGCAAAGGAGAAAAAAAATTAGCATGTGAAAGGTTTTTACACTGTAAAAATTATACAAGGAAGGAAGAGTATATGGAGATAAAAAGTAAGGTTAAGCAAATGAAAAGGAAATACAAAAGACCAGTCAGAGAATGGATGAGAGTTCATCAATAGATTTTGAGAATGAGAGTCAGTTTTGGAGAGAGATTTATAAGTTGAGAAAACCTGCCTGAGAGGAACTGGTTGGCATCACCACACTACCTTACTCTGTGAAAACTTCCTCTCATACCACCTGCTGCTACTCTTGCAACACTGCATAGCTCCTGATGAGGCACAGATATGTGAAAGATCTTGAGCTAAAGAATTCCATCCCCTGTGGCTTGTTTTAAGGTCTGTTAAGATTTCCTGCCTGTGCCTGTATGCATACATATAAATAAAAAGGATTACATGGTAGTCTCACCTTTGGAACACCTTCTTGTGCATCACGAACATCTCCTGGCTGCCACTTTGACAATACTGCCTTTAAAGCTTCAGGTTTCATTCCTTCGTCATCACCTTTTACTGCTAAGTAATGTGGCTTATATGGGTTCATCTGTTGACCAGGGAAAAAAATATTAATAAGTATCCCTGAATGGGTACCTCTATGGTAAGTGGTTGCCTGAGTTTTTTTCTCTGCAAATCCAGAATCATCACTAATCACTATACCAAACAACTTCAACCAGAACAATGGCTTCTGCAACATAGCTGAGCCTCTTTCCAGGAAACTTCTAGAACATTATCTCGCATAGCAACAGCTCATAGCGTGGAGGAACATTGCAGCAGATGTGATAAATGGTTTTGAAACCAACAAGTTGAAGATTGAGACATTTATGCAACATATGGGAATCTTTATTAAGGAAATGTTTTGCCACACACTGGTTTCATCAGTCCAGTACAAAGTAGAAATGGGTACGGAGAGGAGGAATTTGAGTTAATCACTCCCTCAGCCTGGAATCGATGTGTTCAGTCCATCACTCTTGTAGAGAGTACAGTATATGTCTGGAGAAGTGGCTTATATACTGTAGACAGGTTAGTCAAAGCAGGAGAAGGTGGGATCACAGTGGAATCATCCACTAGTGTAAGTAGGTCTTTGTCCATAGGTTGGATGAGTATTGAAGAATTCCTTGTATCAAGATCCCATGATGCTGACAGTGTCTGACAGATGTGATAAATGCAAGTCCATCTTGAATCCAACCTTTTCTCAGCCATATATTTGTCCAACCTGTTATTAGTCTACCCAAGAAATCATCTTCAGCATACCTCACCTGACTTCACATCAATGTTTGTGCCCAGTGTGTGGGCACAAACACTATCAATAGAGTTGGTATGTACTGCATCTATGTCCTTATCCAATACCTCTTGTGATCAGCTTCAAAAACTAAGTGCAGGTATATATTAATGAAAAGTATTTTTGTATTTGAAAGAAACCCAAAGTATTTCTTCTCCTATACCAAATCAAAGTCGAGAACAATGTCCAGTATTGGGCCCCTACTTAAACAAGATGGGTCCTACACAGATGACAGCAAGGAAATGAGTGAGCTACTCAAGTCCCAATATGACTCGGTTTTTAGCAAGCCGCTAACAAGACTGAGAGTCGAAGATCAAAATGAATTTTTTATGGGAGAGCCACAGAATTTGGTTAACACAAGCCTATCCGATGTTATCCTGATGCCAAATGACTTCGAACAGGTGATAAATGACATGCCCATGCACTCTGCCCCAGGGCCAGACTCATGGAACTCCGTGTTCATCAAGAACTGCAAGAAGCCCCTATCACGAGCCTTTACCCTCCTATGGAGAGGGAGCATGGACACGGGGGTCGTCCCACAGTTACTAAAAACAACAGACATAGCCCCACTCCACAAAGGGGGCAGTAAAGCAACAGCAAAGAACTACAGACCGATAGCACTAACATCCCATATCATAAAAATCTTTGAAAGGGTCCTAAGAAGCAAGATTACCACCCATCTAGAAACCCATCAGTTACACAACCCAGGGCAACATGGGTTTAGAACAGGTCGCTCCTGTCTGTCTCAACTATTGGATCACTACGACAAGGTCCTAGATGCACTAGAAGACAAAAAGAATGCAGATGTAATATATACAGACATTGCAAAAGCCTTCGACAAGTGTGACCATGGCGTAATAGCGCACAAAATGCATGCTAAAGGAATAACAGGAAAAGTCGGTCGATAGATCTATAATTTCCTCACTAACAGAACACAGAGAGTAGTAGTCAACAGAGTAAAGTCCGAGGCAGCTACGGTGAAAAGCTCTGTTCCACAAGGCACAGTACTCGCTCCCATCTTGTTCCTCATCCTCATATCTGACACAGACAAGGATGTCAGCCACAGCTGGAGGATCTCACCTTCAAGGACCATAACATTGTATCAATCGCATCTGCTAGAAAAATGACAGGATAGATAATGAGAACCTTCAAAACTAGGGAGGCCAAGCCCATGATGACACTCTTCAGGTCACTTGTTCTATCTAGGCTGGAATATTGCTGCACACTAACAGCACCTTTCAAGGCAGGTGAAATTGCCGACCTAGAAAATGTACAGAGAACCTTCACGGCACGCATAACGGAGATAAAACACCTCAATTACTGGGAGCGCTTGAGGTTCCCAAACCTGTATTCCCTGGAACGCAGGCTGGAGAGATACATGATTATATACACCTGGAAAATCCTAGAGGGACTAGTACCGAACTTGCACACGAAAATCACTCACTACGAAAGCAAAAGACTTGGCAGACAATGCAACATCCCCCCAATGAAAAGCAGGGGTGTCACTAGCACGTTAAGAGACCATACAATAAGTGTCAGGGGCCCGAGACTGTTCAACTGCCTCCCAGCATACATAAGGGGGATTATCAACAGACCCCTGGCAGTCTTCAAGCTGGCACTGGACAAGCACCTAAAGTCGGTTCCTGACCAGCTGGGCTGTGGCTCGTACATTGGTTTGCGTGCAGCCAGCAGTAACAGCCTGGTTGATCAGGCTCTGATCCACCAGGAGGCCTGGTCACAGACCGGGCTGCGGGGGCGTTGACCCCCGGAACTCTCTCCAGGTAAACTCCAGGAAGGAATTAAAGTACGTATATCAAACTGAACTTTCTTAAACAAAATGATGTTTTTTCTTGTACAGTTGTAGAGATTTGTAAACAGCATATACCAGTTAATGAGAAAAAACAGAGAAATATCGAAAAACGTGCATTTTATGGCATTTTCTAAATTTAACGAGTGTAGAACCCTTTAATGTCATATTTTCTTGAAATATTATGCCAGAGCTGGTCTTACTGTAGGATACATGATTATTAGTAAGGCCTCACACAGACTAAGAGGCTCAGTTCTGGTCTCCATACTACAGAAAGGATATTACATAAATGTATTTGAGAAGGTTTAGAGGAAAAATAAAAAAATTTAATCTACTGTATAAGAAATTTTCTAGATAAAAACTGACTGAGGGCTCTGAACCTACTCCATCTTGAAAGATGTAGACTAGGAGGAAAAGACAAGTGGAAGATAGGCGTAAATAAAGGCAATATAAATAGGGAACTGAGGAAGTCCAACCAAGAAGTAATGGATTCAAACTAAAAAAAAAAAAAAGGCTCGGATAATCTATGGGAAAGTATAGTACTAGTTCGGAAATATAGTTGTCAATGAATGGAACAATCTGCCTAGTATGGCCATTGAAATTAAAACATTGGGTAACTTTAAAAATAGGTTGAGCAAATATATGAGTGAGAGCAGTTGGACATGAGAAGGACTTGCCTAGCATAACCCAGACCTGCTGCAGTGTTCCTCCATTTTTATGCTCTTATATTAGTTTTTGCTTTATTTTAAAAAGAAAAAGAAATTTTGTCTCAATAACTTCTTATAGAAAAAGCTTTTCTATGATAATGCAAGATTTGGGAACAGTTATACTTACTATACCTAATGTACCAGTGTAACAAGGCTCTTGTGTAACTATGTAGTCCCCAGGGTTGAGCATCATCTCTAATGCTTTACAAAGACCATCTTGGCTTCCAGTGGTCACTACCAGATCACTCTCAGCCCAACAAGGGGGTGCATGTAACTTCTCAGTAAGCTTCTTTAACTGCTTAATTAAAGGAGGATATCTGCAGGAATACAATTTTTAAAAGTGTGACAAACAGTCTAGCAGAGAAAACTTGGTAAAGAGATGATCATTCAAAGAAGTGCTGCATTTGGCTATTAATTATATTTGAAAAATGTCATCATTACCATCAGAGGTGGATGATGAATATAATAATTTACAAGGTGATTTATTTTGATTGAAATCCTTTTCCCTTTCAATTGTTTTCAAAACTCAAAGAATGATTTCAGACACTTGAAAGTACACACTCATGGATTTTGGTGCAAAAAAACACTTATAACAACAGGGAAGGGAATAAGTTCTAGTCCAAGGACTTTAGTGTTTGATTTGATGAGTTAAATCAATAAATTGTTTTATAGAATTAGCTTTTTTATGCCACTGAATAAGACTTGCTCTCACCAATGAGTATTTACTATATTACCATGTTTCCTGAAAAACTAATTTCCTCCCCAAAACATTAAACCAATTAAATTAAGACTTTGATAAAGGGGAGCATATAAGTTCTCCTCTAAAGACTTAATTCCAACAGCAAATCACCATAAAAACCACTGATCTCCTCTCGCTCATATCTAACACACCCATACACCTGTTGAATGGCCAAGCCCCTAGCATTCAAAACTTCCTTTGTCCCTGCCCTTTAACTTTTCTTAGGATGGCCCAGTTACTTGTAACTCTGAAACAGAGAGAAACAAAATAAAACCATACCCAGGAGTTGGTCCATACTGTAGACAATCATTCATAAGTTTTGGGTTAATTGTGATGGTCTGATTATCTCTCATAGTAATTGATGCAGCTTGGAAAGGAAACATCTGAACATTTGGTAACCCTCCAGCCATGAAGACCAGTTGTGGAGAGGCATTTGACAGCAGGCTAGCTGAAATAACACAGAGAATTTTTGCATATAAAATAAATTTGTAAATACATGTAAAAAAAGGGGGAGAAACTTCAGCTATTTCTCACACACATTTAAGAAATACTCTCAACATAGCTACTGAACTTCTAAATACTGAATACAGTTACTCAACCTTTCGTTTCCAAGTACAGTGGAACCTCGGTACTCGAACAGCTCCCTACTCAAACAATTTAGTATTCAAACACTTTGTTTGGTAAAAACTGCTCAGTAGTCGACCGTTTGCTCAGCACTCGACCAAACAAACATGACCTGCCAGAACTTCGCTGTAAACTATTTCATGTTTCTTCACATTTTTTGGTGTTTTTTATATTAGTATTTGTATAAATAAGTCACCATGGGGCCTTCCGGAATAAATTACGTTCGAGTACTAAGATTACACTGTATTGCTCTTGTTGATTATCATTATTATTATTATTTGAAAGCAGACTATTTAGCTTCTCACTACTATAATGAGGTTTACACAATAAACTAATCTTGTCAAAGGACTTTTTTCCCACTACAGACAGCTAGCTGAAAGCAGGGAAACTACCCCTTCTATGACAGATTCCTACTCTTGTTTCTCTCAAGAGATATGCTGGACTGAGGCAGAAGGTTAAGTGATCAGGAACATCCTTTTAACATCTTGCACATTATTGTATATATATTCACCAAGAAGCCATAAACCCATACAGCACTTGCTGAATGGGAGGTAATCAGGCTTGATTCAAGGAAGGGAAAGGTAGCTCCAATTCCTTGAATTAAGAGTCCTTCACCAGAATAAAAGTACCCTTCTAACCTTAGAAGGGTCTCAGTTGCACAAGGATCAAAATACCCTCTATATATCCTTTAAGCCTTGCTTTATTTTTGTCTCTGATTTGCTTATTTAGTACGTACTTCTTCCATAAGTTTCACCCCAAGTAAGTGTTAATCACAGCAGCCTGTTTTTGTCAGTCCTGTATTTTCCAATTCGTTCATATGTGTGTGTAGTTAGCTTTGTGCAGCCCTGCCTAATTTTTTGCACTAAGAGCTGAGAAGACTATCCATCAAAAATTTGGTAATAAAACCGGTAAATAAGGGGGCGGGGGTTGCAGAACTGCTAAATAAAAATTCAATCCTTTTCTTTACTACAATACAGGCATTCTCTTGTTATCACATGGGAACACACAAGATTAAAAAAAGATGATTAAACATGTGAACTCGTAATACTCTTATGGGGATTTTTAATAAGGCTTGTTGAAAAACAAAATTAAATTCTCTTCAATTAGCAATTATTAATAAAACTGGAACAATAACATTATTATTATAATCAAAACTAAGCACTAAACCCACAAGGGTCACATGGTACTAAAACAATAACCTTCATGAAAATGAAAAGTCGTACAGGAAAATGAATGTGAACATGACTTACTTAATTCACGAATCAAAGAAGGTTGACGATTTTGAGATACTCTTGTTAAAAACCTCGAGTAATTCATCCTAAAAATAAAAAAAAAATTACCATTAGGATAAATTGATTGTGATGGTAGGTGATGGTTGAATAATATGATGATAACCAGTGATGGCTGAATAATATAATGATAACCAGTGATGGCTGAATATATGATGATAACCAGTGATGGCTGAATAATATAATAACCAGTGATGGTTGAATATGATGATACCTGAGATAGTGATGTCCAAAGACAGTAAGAGTAACTGAGGCACTTCTAGCTCACCAAGGTACCCAAGATAAGAGATAAGATATGATTTTCTTCGGATTTTTAACCCTGGATGCTTAGCCACCCAAAATAACCCGAGAAAGTCAGTGTGTCATCGAGGACTGTCTTATTTCCATTGTGGTCCTCAATTTTGTCCCCCAGGATGCGACCCACACCAGTCGACTAACACCCAGGCACATACCTATTTGCTGCTAGGTGAACAGAACAACAGGTGTAAGGAAACGTGCCGAAATGTTTCCACCCGCCAGGAATCGAACCCGGGTCCTCCGTGTGTGAAGCGAGAACTTCAGCCACCAGGTCACCGGCCACAGGCTCTTATTTTGTTGGGGGATGTTAAGAGCCATCAAAGCGTACGCCATTATGGACCCTCCTCTGGAGTCAGGGAGAAATATACTATACAAACATGGAAATAAATTAGAAAGGGAAGTTTCCTCCGGAAAGGTAAAAATGACATGACATTCCCAAGTGCGATCAAGTGAAGCCCAGACCTGGACACCAGCAGTGTCAGGCAGCTGCTCCCTCAGTGAGCACCATTACACTATAACAACTACGGCTTTTTTTCACTTCATTTCTTAATTCTTTGCAAGTTTACAATGTGATTAACATGTTGTAGGGAGTCCAATTTACATAGGTAGTTTACAGTGTGTAACTGCAATAATAATTTGCAGTGCAAAGAGAGCCATTATCATGCCTAGGCATTATGGGCAGACTAGATTTAATGAGTTACAGAATTACTTAATACTAGACAGATTATTATTTGTTAAAGTTGTACATCTCTTTTATATATAGCAAACAGCAAATTGACTCAAGTTACAATATGTGAAAATTACAATGGGACAACTTGAAAGTAGTTTACAATATAAGCTTGTTACATTGAGTATAACTCAGAACAAATTTGTGCAGGTATTGATTTTTTACAGTGTAGTATTGAGTAATATATTGAATTTTGAACATCTGTTTTTGAAGTTTTGAGATTTAGGTGAGTGAACTAATCCTTAGCACAGTATGTGGTAATGGAGGTGAATTTGAAAGCAGCTTTAAAGCTATTTAGTTTTAGATGAGTAGGTGATTTCTAAGAAGTCTTGAACTGATTTGCAAACAGGGGTCCTTTAGTGTTATCTGGCAGTGAATTCCAAATCTTAGGGCCCTTGACGTGCATAGCATTTTTGCATATGGAGAGATGGACACGAGGGATACGGAAGAGTGATCTGTGTCTTGTATTATGGCTGTGTGTTCTGTTGAAGCTGTCAAGGAGGAGCTTAAGAGGAGGGTTTGTATTAGAGTGCAGTCCCCTCAAGGAAGGTTCCTTGATGTTGGTGAGGGGCTCTTGATATAGGGAATTGGATCTGTGCTCCAGTTCCCCGAATTAAGCCTGAATACCTTCCACATCCCCCCCCCAGGCGCTGTATAATCCTCCGGGCTTAGCACCAATAACTCATTACAGTTGTGACCGGGTGTGGAAGTGTGAATTGCTCATTACTCTATAATTTGTTCATGATTGTAGCCAAAGTATAAACGTAAGTAACCATTCTACAGAATTCATTACCTTTGTAACTTGTGAGCTCATTACCTTTGTACCTAGTTCAGCTATCAAAACTTTGGGGGCCCAGTCCCTGGACCCATTACGTACCTCTGTAATCTGTAAATACCTTTGTAACTTGTCATGATTGTGACCAGACTTACCTGGAGTTCATTACCTTTGTAAATTGTGAGTTCATTACCTTTGTAAATTGTGAGTTCGTTACCTTTGTAAATTGTGAGTTCATTACCTCTGTAACTTGCTCAGCTGTCAAAACTTTGGAGTCCAGTCCCTGGACCAATTATGTACCTCTGTAATCTTTTGACTACCGCCCACAGGATGGGTATGTGGTGCATAATAAACATATTAAACTAACTAAACTTAGCGCTTCCCCCTTGATTATAATAATAATAATAATAATAATAATAATAATAATTAATAATAATTAATAATAATTAGAGTCTAGTGTCCTATATATGTGGTAGGCACAATAAAAAGTGTCGGTATTTTGTATATTGAGTAAGTTGAGACTTAGATTAGATTTTTTTTTATATTTTATTTCCTTGCAAGTTTACAATGTGGTTGATGGTGTATGCTGTCTCAAGTGGGAATTTTTCAATCGGACTACAGTTTTTTGTTAGGTTATTAGACTCCATAGGTGAGATAGGGGTAAATGAGTCAGTGGTACAAAGCAAGGAGAGCTGATTGCGGTACATAGTACCGTATCTTTGATAGAATGCCTATTGTCTTAGAGACTTTCTTAGAAATTAGCTGTATGTGTGTGGAATTTGAGACTGCTCTCAAGATAAGATAAGATTTCGTTCGGATTTTTAACCCTGAGGGTTAGCCACCCAGGATAACCCAAGAAAGTCAGTGCGTCATCGAGGACTGTCTAACTTATTTCCATTGGGGTTCCTTAATCTTGTCCCCCAGGATGCGACCCACACCAGTCGACTGACACCCAGGTACCTATTTGCTGCTAGGTGAACAGGACAACAGGTGTAAGGAAACGTGTCGAAATGTTTCCACCCGCGGGAATCGAACCCGGGCCCTCCGTGTGTGAAGCGGGAGCTTTAGCCACCAGGTCACCGGGTGGAGTCCTAAAAATTTACCCTCCGTGAGTCTAGAAATGGGTGATCCATTTATTATTATGTTAAGCTTTAAGTACGCTTATTTAGGCACAGGTACACATAGGTACAATTATCATGCATAGTATAAATTACTTAGGATAACCCCCCAAAAATGTCAAAGTGACTTATTTCCATTGTGGTCCTTAAACCCAGTTAAAAGAACCCCAATGAATACAAGTCACTTTGGCTTTTTTGGGGTTATCCTAGGTAATTTTCACATAAACAGAATTATATCTATAGCATGTGTGTACCTGTACCTAAATAAACTCACTGACCAACCTTAATATATAGCAGATGCTGCTGAACATTGATTGTTTACCAACATTGTGAGTGTTGTGTCTCTCTGGCAGTCTGGTCTTTATTTGTCAGTTCCTGAAGGAAACTTTTGTTACTTTGCCTGTTGTACCTCATATTTGATCAATATTTCCTCCCGAGACAAGAAGGTAGAGCTTGAGACAGTTTATATTAGTCCCCCTTCATGTGATAATTAAATCGGTAAAGGGAATAAATTGTTGGACTTGCTGAGTTATAATAATAATAATAATAATAATAATAATAATGATTATAATAATAATAATAATAATAATCTTTATTTCTACAAATACTTAATTCAACTTAATAAAGACCATAGCTGACTTCAGTGATATACTATACAGAAAGACCCTTGTTATGCAGAGCATTTCAGGCAACTTTAGTTAATTTTGTCCCCAGGATGCGACCCCATACCAATCGACTAACATCCAGGTATCTAATTACTGCTAGGTGAACAGAGAAAGCAGGTGTCCCTGGTGTGCCGGAGATTGAACCTCAGACCCTGATGTGTGAGCTGAGTGAGCTACCAAATGAGGTTTTTTTATGTACTTTTTTTATATGCCCTCAAGACCATTATAAAATTAATAAATGTATGTATGTGTATATATGATGCATGCATTCATACAATCTCTTGCAATAACTAACAAAATATATGTGGGCAAGGCAAAACATCCAGAGACTAATGTGGTAACATTTCTGAACATTACTGTACAATCAGAATCGACCGCTTGTGAAACACCTGTGCCTAACACTGTGACTCCAACAGTCATTTGATTATTTACAAGGGTGCACAACTTGTTGCTAAAGAGGAAGACACCTGAAGGTGTAGGATCATAGAACCAGCACTCATCGGTCCATCCAGTGATATCAACCCAAATAACAGCTTCTACAACATAGCTGAACCTCTTGCCAGGAAGCTTCTAGATTGGGTTCCTGCATAACATTTCATAAATACACAAGTATGAAGGGGCACTGCAGTAAGCCCACATCTTGCTCCTGGGGGATTTCAACTTAAGGCACCTAAAATGGAGGAATATAGCAAATAATATTGTTGCAGTAATAACACCAGGAGGCAGCTCTGATGAAAACTCACACTCACACGAGCTTTTAAATCTCTGCACAAAATTCAATTTAAACCAGGAAATAATAGAGCCTACTAGACTGGAGAATACACTAGACCTCATCTTCACTAACAATGATGATCTGATACGAAATGTCACCATATCAAAAACAATATACTCAGATCACAACATAATTGAGGTTCAGACATGTATGCGCGGAGCCCCAGACTGACATAATGAGATTAGTCATGAAGGAGCATTCACCAAATTCAACTTCAATAACAAAAACATAAAGTGGGACCAAGTAAACCAAGTCCTAACCGATATAAGCTGGGAAGATATACTAAGCAACACAGACCCCAACTTATGCCTAGAACAGATTAACTCGGTGGCACTCGATGTATGCACAAGACTTACTCCTCTAAGAAAAAGGAGTAGATGTAAAATAGAAAAAGACAGGCGCTCCCTTTACAGGCGACGGAAAAGAATAAGAGCGGCTAAAAGAGGTCAATATATCTGAAATGCGTAGGGAGACACTGGTCAGAGAAATAGCAAGCATCGAACTTAAGCTAAAGGAATCTTATAGGAGTCAGGAATCGCGGGAAGAACTAAAAGCCATAAATGAAATCGAAAGAAACCCAAAGTATTTCTTCTCCTATGCCAAATCAAAGTCGAGAACAACGTCCAGTATTGGGCCCCTACTTAAACAAGACGAGTCCTACACAGATGACAGCAAGGAAATGAGTGAGCTACTCAAGTCCCAGTATGACTCAGTTTTTAGCAAGCCACTAACCAGTCTGAGAGTCGAAGATCAAAATTAATTTTTTATGAGAGAGCCACAGAATTTCGTTAACACAAGCCTATCTGATGTTATCCTGACGCCAAATGACTTCGAACAGGCGATAAATGACATACCCATGCACTCTGCCCCAGGGCCAGACTCGTGGAACTCCGTGTTCATCAAGAACTGCAAGAAGCCCCTATCACGAGCTTTTACCATCCTATGGAGAGGGAGCATGGACACGGAAGTCGTCCCACAGTTACTAAAAACAACAGACATAGCCCCACTCCACAAAGGGGGCAGTAAAGCAATAGCAAAGAATTACAGACGGATAGCACTAACATCCCATATAAAAATCTTTGAAAGGGTCCTAAGAAGCAAGATCACCACCCATCTAGAAACCCATCAGTTACACAACCCAGAGCAACATGGGTTTAAAACAGGTCGCTCCTGTCTGTCTAAACTATTGGATCACTACGACAAGATCCTAGATGCACTAGAAGACAAAAAGAATGCAGATGTAATATATACAGACTTTGCAAAAGCCTTCGACAAGTGTGACCATGGCGTAATAGTGCACAAAATGCGTGCTAAAGGAATAACAGGAAAAGTCGGTCGATGGATCTATAATTCCCTCACTAACAGAACACAGAGAGTAGTAGTCAACAGAGTAAAGTCCGAGGCAGCTACGGTGAAAAGCTCTGTTCCACAAGGCACAGTACTCGCTCCCATCTTGTTCCTCATCCTCATATCTGGCATAGACAAGGATGTCAGCCACAGCACAGTGTCTTCCTTTGCAGATGACACCCGAATCTGCATGACAGTGTCTTCCATTGCAGACACTGCAAGGCTCCAGGCGGGCATCAACCAGATCTTTCAGTGGGCTGCAGAAAACAATATGAAGTTCAACGATGAGAAATTTCAATTACTCAGATGTGGTAAACACGAGGAAATTAAATCTTCATCAGAGTACAAAACAAATTCCGGCCACAAAATAGAGCAAAACACCAACGTCAAAGACCTGGGAGTGATCATGTCGGAAGATCTCACCTTCAAGGACCATAACATTGTATCAATCGCATCTGCTAGAAAAATGACAGGATGGATAATGAGAACCTTCAAAACTAGGGATGACAAGCCCATGATGACACTCTTCAGGTCACTTGTTCTATCTAGGCTGGAATATTGCTGCACACTAACAGCACCTTTCAAGGCAGGTGAAATTGCTGACCTAGAAAATGTACAGAGAACCTTCACTGCGCGCATAACGGAGATAAAACACCTCAATTACTGGGAGCGCTTGAGGTTCCCGAACCTGTATTCCCTGGAACGCAGGCGGGAGAGATACATGATTATATACACCTGGAAAATCCTAGAGGGACTAGTACCGAACTTGCACACGAAAATCACTCGCTACGAAAGCAAAAGACTTGGCAGATGATGCAACATCCCCCCAATGAAAAGCAGGGGTGTCACTAGCACGTTAAGAGACCATACAATAAGTGTCAGGGGCCTGAGACTTTTCAACTGCCTCCCAGCATACATAAGGGGGATTACCAACAGACCCCTGGCAGTCTTCAAGCTGGCACTGGACAAGCACCTAAAGTCGGTACCTGACCAGCCGGGCTGTGGCTCGTACGTTGGTTTGTGTGCAGCCAGCAGTAACAGCCTGGTTGATCAGGCTCTGATCCACCAGGAGGCCTGGTCACAGACCGGGCCGTGGGGGCGTTGACCCCTGGAACTCTCCAGGTAAACTCCAGTCATGTATTTGTGCAACCAGTTATTTAACACATGTAACCTGATGCTTCACCTTAGTATGCTCCCTTTATATAAATAGGCTCAACCTTCCTCTCTAGTTTGTGTGATGATAAAGCCCACCATGTGGGCAATTATTATTATTATTATAATCAAAAAGAAGTGCTAAGCACCATGTGGGCAAAACATTGTCAATAAAGGATTGCAGTGTCTTGCATCTATGTGTCTTTTTCTTTTTTTCATTGTACTGGCATTTTATACAATTTATCTCTTGTCATTGTTTTAGTAGACTCTTGTGGGTTGCATCCTAGATTAGAAGACTAAATATCCCCAGTGGAAGTACGTTGCATTACTTGTTTTTCTTGGGTTAATATAAGATTTATTTAGAAAATTTGACAAAATTTTACAATCAGTAATGAGTTTATATACAGTAGGGCCCCACTTATACGGCGGGTTAGGTTCCAGGCTACCGCCGTAAAGCGGAAATCGCCGTAAAGTGGAACACCCTTTTTTTCCACTTATAAATGCATACAAACACTAGATAACAAGTTTACACTAACATATATTAAGTTAGCAATAGAACCAGGCATCAAAAAACAATAAAAAGGTACAATACACACATAGTGCACTCATTACTTACCTTAAAATATTTATAGTCTTAATCTAGGGTGAGACAAGTAGTATTTATTGTAAGAAATCAAGTGTGGTATGTATTGTATAGCCTCACCAGGCCACCCCACCCACACATACTATTCTATGATATTTAAGCATCCCAGAGCGATAAAATGTATATACAGTTCACTCATTACTTACCTTAAAATATTTGTAGTCTTAATGTAGGGTCAGGAGTAAGTAAATGAGATAAAAACGAATAAATGAGAGAGAGAAAGAATGAATACATGAGAGGGGGCAGGCGCAGTTATGTAAACAAACCAGGGGAAGGTAAGTTTTGTAAACAAACGAAGTGTACACGTCGGGTTTGTGTACAAGTTACATTGTGTACGGGTTGTCTCTACATTGATACGGTAGAATTAATAAAGAAGAACACTCCCATTCTCATGTAACATCATTTTGAGAAGAAATGAAGCTCTGAGTGAAGGCAATGGAAATAAGTCACACTGACTTTTTGGGTTACCTAGGTTCTCTACACGTATGTTGTTATGTATGATAATCTATGTAACTGTATTTGTGTATACCTGAATAAACTTACTTACATACATACGAAAGGAAAAATTTTCTACAGTTACCCCCAGTAACACAATTTACTCTTATGTTAGATTAGAGAAAATGTTATTCTTGGCGTCACTTGTACAAGTATGTGGCTCCCACATCTTATATTTATGTTTATTTATTCTATTGTGGGGTGTATTTATCATCTTTTTATGTTATGTATCGTGTTTATTATATAATTTTGAAAAAAATATCATGGATGGATTAATGAAAATGTGTATATTACCGTAATATACGACATTTAATGAGACTCGGTATTGTTATTATCACCACTTGTGCAAGTCGTCTGCTACGACATCTCACATTTGTTTATTTATTCTACTGTGGGGTGTATTTATCTTATTTATATGTTATGCATCGTGTTTATTATATGATTTTGAAAAAAATATCATGGATGGATTAATGAAAATGTGTATATTACCGTAATATACGACATTTAATGAGACTCAGTATTGTTATTTTCACCACTTGTGCAAGTCGTCTGCTCACATCTCACATTTGTTTATTTATTCTACTGTGGGGTGTATTTATCTTATTTATATGTTATGCATCGTGTTTATTATTAATTTTGAAAAAAATATCATGGATGGATTAATGAAAATGTGTATATTAACGTAATATACGACATTTAAATGACTCGATGTATGTAAGTTTATTTAGGTACAGGTATACATAAGTATAATTATCAGAGTATATATAAAATATGAAATAACTTTTAAAAACATTTGAAATTTTGGAGTTTCCAGACAAAATGGAGAGACTTAGTGCTTACTGAGCTCATGGAGAATGTAAACAAACAGGGTGGGGCACGGTGACCGTATTAGAAAGTCAGGTGGGGGGAGCCGTATAGTGAGTTTTGGTCATAATTTGAAATGTCCGTATTAGCGGAACGCCGTAAAGCGGAACGCCGTAAAGCGGGGCCCTCCTGTACTAGTTTTGAGGATACATGCATGTGGGCATACATATAACCTAGGATAACCCAAAAAGTGTGTGAATCATTTCTGTTGGAATCCTTATTATTTCTTATGTTAGGCAAATATATATGCCATCTCTTATTTAATTCATATTTTTCAACTTTGAACTTTCAGCCTTGTTGTGCCGTGATAGCATTCTTAGCTTACATCTGAAAGGGCCCTAGGTCAAACAGTGAATAAGGAGAGACATTTGGGCAAGGCTTCTAACACCTGTCCATGGTACTTAGCAGTAAATAGATACCTGGGAATTAGTCAAATGTTGTAGGTTGCATCCCATTAAAGAACCTAAAAAAAGTACCCCAATGAATATAAGCCACAATGCTTGGCTTTCTGAAGTTATTCTGGACTATTAACATACAGGGGTTATTACTTAAAATGTCTTGGTTTGCTTCAACACCTCTGCCTCTTTCCATCATCTGTCTTGTCCTCTGCAGTCCTGTATAACCATCTTCTGAGAAAAAGTTTTTTAGTCTTAATAATTATACCCAATTTCTTTCAGGGTATAAAACATTGTGTAGTAAAATGGATGCTAATAATAAAGGAGATATGAGTCAGCCCCCTGCAAACAACAGGACACAGCAGGAGACATTGTCACGAGGACTTCTGGATGATGAAGACAGACTGAGTGACTTCGGGTCACCCAAACATGGGCCCACACTCTCAACCAGCACCAGCAGTTTCGAAGCTCTTGACCCTCATGACCCTAACCTTAGTCATTTGGCATCTTTAATGTTTTCACATACTTCTAATTATCTGCAGGTTTGTTAAAGAATAAAAGGAACAATAAAGTACTGTAGCAAGCAGAATTCGCAACTAACCCAACAAAATGGAGATAAAGTACAGTAGACATCTTTGTCTTGATAATAGTCCAGGACAGACTAAAACTTCTTCAAAATTCCATTTCTAATTTATGGATTAGTTCTAAAACATGTTTCAGTTTGTTTCTTACTTTTTAATATATAATACTGTATATTTATTACTGTATGTATCTAAAATCTCTCACTAAATTTTATACATATGATGACTTTATGGAATCTTAAGTTAAGAATATCTTCTTTTCTCCTAAGGGCGAGTTGTCAGCAGTCTTGGAAGATTATACTCTTCTAGAACAAATGAACAAAGCAACTATCACCAAATATGCAGATATGCGTCAAATTGGTGGAAGTGTAAGCAGGGCTCTTAAGGATCTGAATGAAAAATATTTAGCTTTACAACCCTACCTTGAGCAGATTGACCAGATTGAAGATAGTGTTACAAAACTAGAAGCTGCTGCATATAAACTAGATGCTTATTCTAAGAGATTAGAAGCAAAATTCAAAAGTTTGGAGAAGAAATAAGGAAAATGAAATCTATTTTATAGAAATATACAAGTTTTTATTTACTGAAATTTGAGGTACAGTACAGGTACAGTATGGATTCTCCTGATGGTTACTATATCTTAGAGGCCTTGTTGGAGGAATGAAGCTTCTGGCTTGTGAAGTATACCTCTCTTTTTCTATTTGAACAGAACAATGACACATACATAGTGTCTTGGTCTGAATTCAGATAGAGCTAAACAGATTTGATAATAGAATATTCACTGTGATATGCACAAAAGTGGTCTCAAAAAAAAAAAAAAAAAAAAAACTTGGATTAGAGGAATTAATGAAGAGGTTACCTTTCCTTAGGAGTGAAAAATGCTGCAATATGTGTTTTTTGGTGTTTAGAGATAACTAAGTTGTTGTAAAAGACCTGCTGTCTCACTGTGGTATTAAAGTAATGTATCCTTTATAGTAAAGCTTGGAATAAAAACCAAACCAACAAAAGTCCTTCTATAACTTATTGTCTAAAGCAGGGATTACCCACATTTTTGATAGTGGGCCATATTAAAGTTTAAAATTTAATGGGCACAACACTATAAAAACAGAACCAAGTGAAAGTGTAGATATTTAACCCTTTGAGGGTCGACAGGCCCTCTCCGAGACTTGTTCTCAGGGTCGGCCAAATTTAAAAAAAAAAAAAATTTTTTCTTATGAAAAGATAGAGAATCTTTTCCCGATCATAATGACACCAAAAGTATGAAATTTGATGGAAAACTTACAGAATTATGCTCTCGCGAAGTTAGCGGTCTTGACTATGTTTACGCATCGGCGATTTTGCCCACTTTGAGCCCTATTTTCGGCCAATTCCAGTGTACTAGTCGACAAAAATCATAACTATTTCTCTAGAACTCCATTTTTTCTATTGAATGAGTACAAGATATCACCCATTTACTGATTTCAACTATCCAATACAGTGGTCAGAATTTAGCAATTTTTCCAATTTCACACAAATTTCAAAAGATGCCAATTTCCAAATAGGGTCCAGAATAAACAAGAAAGACATTCCTGACACTAAAATAACATTTCTTCTGTTCGTTAGTCACATCCCCAGGCCCCTCTTGTATTTCTTTGGCTTTCCACTTTGTTTTTATTCTTACAAAAAATAGAAGATTTACTGTTATGCAGACTGCTGCATTAGTGTAGAAATGGTATAAATAATATCAGCGCACTTGTGAAAGAATATTAGACTCACCAGTTGACGTGTATTGGACGCTTGGCACGATTTGTTTACTTTTGAACTTTGGTAAAAATCAAACATTTCTGCTACTTTGAGCTCAATTTCAAGGTACTTTTCATTGTAAAACCAGTCAAAATCATCTCAATTTCTGTAATATGTCTTCCATTCTATAAAGTGAGACCAAGAAAACTAGAATACAACAATAAATACCATACGAAAATACAGTGCAAAGTCGCTGTTTTATTCCAAAAACACGGTCAAAGTTTTTTTTTCTCATTATGCACTGTTTGCTGCAGGAATTTTTTTATACTGTGCACATTGACCACATAGACCCATTCTTTCATATGTATGCCTACCAGCTTTCCCCCACTAGATTTGAGGGCGCTAGAATTTAGGCGTACTAGTACATCAAAAACCCTGTATCATAAGCCGTACTAGTACTGCCAAAACCCTCAAAGGGTTAATGCCTGACCATTCAGTTTAACATGAAGTGATAATTGATCTCAGTATGAATATCATATAATTAGTAAATAAACAAGTTTTAATTTAAGAAACATATTTATTAACTTGATCATCATATGTCAATCCTGATTTGAAATTAACTTTGCTGTGCAATCTGCAGGTTACTGAAGTCTGAAACATCTTGAGGGCCACACAAAATAGGTTAAAGGGCCTCACGCAGCTCCCTTAGTCTGACACATTCACAACTGCAATTTATTCTACGTATTCCCTTAATAGTAGCATTTAATAGTGTTGTATATGTAACAAAGGTATGTGTTATATCAGTATAATGTATCTAAGGGTGTACCCATTATATACAACTTGTTATGAGGTGCCACGTGGTAACTAGACGAGCAGTAGAGGTTAAAAAATCATACTGTATTTGAAATATAGTTTAAGAATTGCATTTTTTAAATATATATATATATCTTTTTAGCTTCAGTATATAATTAAGATATCTGAATTATTTGATCAAATTTTAGCTTGAGACTAGTGCATTATGATATTAAATCAAATTATGTAAAAAAAATTGTAGTGTTATTATAAAGATTATGCTAATAAAGCTGGGTAATTCTTAATGTATGGCTTTAGAAGTAATGGATTAGTTTACTAAATGTTAGTTTGCTGGTACATGGTGATGGGTACTTTGTTATTGAGGTTGAGCCCTTACTGGTTGATTTCCTGGCTTTGACATGACTTTATAATCAGGTATCAAGCATTAATAATATTTGTTGTTTATAATTTTTTACTTTTAATAGTACATATTTGCTTTTTAATATGAAAGCAATTTCATTTAACACCACAGCATTTCTCTTCAGCAGGATGAAGGGCTTCTTGATTTGCAATACCAGATTCCCGTTGCTATTTGATGCAATTGTAGCAGCAGTTTCAATTAAAGTGTGATAATTTGTATTTTAGCAAAAAATGAAGTATGTCAAAATGCCTCCAATATACAAAACCTGATATCCTGTAGGTGTTTGATTTTTTTTTTTTTTTTTTAGAAAGGAAGTTATCCATTGTAATTAGATTCAAGATGAACAATTTTTGAGTATGCATATTCCTTTACTACACAAGAGTCTGACCTTTTCAGTGTGATTTTTCTAGATAGCAAAAACACTTGGTCAGTGAACTGTTTTTTTTATTTTGTCCACTACAAATTTCCAGAAATACGATTAATGTGCTAAACTCACATCTAGCATACTCCATCTTTATCCATTGCTTTAAATAATGCGTTGATTCCACTGAACCCCTTATGGCTGAAGTCTCATGTCTTACATGCAGTGTTGATTTGTTTTTCACTTATTTTTTTTAATACTGGTCATCTCCCACTGGGGCAGGGTGACCTAAAAAAAAAAAATTATTTTTACCTGTAATAAAAATTGTAGTTGTAAGTCTCAATTGTTATGTTTTAACTTATGATTTCTTCAATTTTTTTTTTTCACTCCTTACCATCTAGTGCTCACAAAGTACCAGGCTCATCCACACTGCTACCATCTCTCACTGCATAATTAGTCTGCAGATCAATACAGCTGGGCCCGGCTTATACAGCAAGATAGGTTCCAGGCTACTGCTGTACAGCTAAAATTGCTGTAAAGTGAATCATAACCTTTCTTCACTTTCAAATGCGTATAAAAGCTTGATAACATGTTTTAACTGTTTATAATATATTTGTGTATATTTTATGGTAGTAAATGATAAAATAGACCGGGCCGCGGGGGCATTGACCCCCGAAACTCTCTCCAGGTAATCTCCAGGTATTGTATGCATTCATGACATACTTAGCTTTTTCTTAATTTTTTCCAGTCACAAATCTCAAAAAAAAAAAAAAAAAAAAAAATCCAATATATTTATTGAAAAATTCCGTGTATAAGTTCACTCGCACAGTTCAAACCCGTGCTGTTCAAGGGTCAGCTGTATAAATCTTCTGTTAACATGTACATTATACACTTGTGCGCATATATACTGTACGTATATCAAACATATGTGTGATTACAGTCAACAAGTTTAAGAGCCTCAGAGATGGGGGTCTTGGAGGGAATATAATGCCAAATATGAAAAATATCACTAAGAAAAGTGACTTAAATATGAATATTACAGGCTACCATTTGTAGAGTACTAATAGATACATAAGCTGTATAACTTATAAGTGTAGCAGGTGTATTTTTAATATAATAGTTGCAAGAACATTTGTACAGTAACTCATATTTATTTATTTAATAATGACTTAAACTGCTTCCTGCCAAGAGTTAATATGCTGTAATTAGTACTTTATACTGTAGGCATGATTTTTATCTGATGCTTTGTTGTTGTTATCTTATAAAATCTGTGTGTTGTGATTGCCAATGAAAAAAGTATCCCAAAAATTTTATTTTCTTTACCCTCATTTGAATCATTAAAAATAAGTATGCATGGCAGGAATAAACCCAGTGGAAATAAGTCACATTATTTAAGTTCATTAGGTTAGCATGTGGAATAAAATAAATGACATGCTGTTTGACTCGTATAGCTTTGGTGCTCATTTTCAAATACAATGAAAAGGAGTTTGGGATATTGGCAGTTTGGAAAGACATCTAAACTGTCGTATCTGAGTGCCTCTGCAAAGACAGTGATATGTATGAGTGGTGAAATTGTTGAATGATGAGTTTTTTTTTCTTTCTTTTTGGGTCACCTTGCCTCGGTAGGAAACAACCAACATGTTATAAAAAAATATGTAATGATAATGTCAAATAAATGCAATTTGAAAGGAATATTAAAAATTGGTTAATTTTCCATTTTAGTTTTAGTAAACCACATTTTACAGATTGTCCTGTTTATCAGCAGACATCCAGGATTCACTTCTCATATCGACAATGCCCTAACACACATACATTGACCTCTACAAAAGTCCCACCTGTAGCACAGACTCACTCTCTGACTTGTTAACTGAAACTAACCTATTGCACTAACTATGATTTCCATAGTTGGTGCAACATCTGCTGCACCAATAATAATAATAATAATAATAATTTTATTGCAGCATGATACATGTTTGTACAAATGAGTATAACAATTGGATGTACATGCCAAAAGCCCCTTTATATGCAGAACATTTTGGGCAAATTTAAGACTAACTTAAGATTAATGAGGTAATAACAGTGCAGTAATTTTGTACACAAGGTCATTAGGCGAGTTACAATGAATACAAGAGAACTGAATATTCTATTAGGTGATACTGGATGAGGCATACCTCCTAGCCTCAGAATCATTTCATGACAGATCATTCTTGAGAAAAAAAAGTGACCAAGCATCCATATCCTTCTGAGCCATGTACAGCTTATTGCTGCCATTTCCCAAGGGCAAGCTGAAATATGTACCCAAAGGTCACTATGGGGTTGAAGTTGGATTAATGTTTGTATTAGACCAGCAAACTGGATGAGATTACTGAGGATTGTATGAAATACCACAATGATTACTGGGCACTTGGTACCCATGCACAATACAAGTCTATTGATGATCACTGCAAATCTGATGAATAATTATGAGTGTCTTCCAATGAGGACACTGCAAATCTGCAAGTAGACATTAACCAAGTCTTTAAATAAGCCTCAGAAAACAATATGAAGTTCAATTACTCTGCTATGGAAAACTGGAGGAAATAATAACTGGATTGGAGTATAAAACAAATTCCAAGCACACAACAATGATAATCTAATGTGAAGGAACTGAAGCATCTCACGTGCAATGATCACAACGATGTCTACCACATCTGCTAGCAAAATGATATGATAGATAATAAGAACCTTCAGAATTCTGGATGCTAAGCAAATGATTCTCTTCAAATCGCTTGTTCACTCTAGGCTGGAATTATTATTATTATTATAATCAAAAAGAAGCGCTAAGCCACAAGGGCTATACAGCGCTAAGCCTCTAGGCTGGAATACTGTACACTAACATCCCCTTTTAAGGCAGGCGAAATTACAAACCTGAAGAATATACAGAGAACTTTCACTGCATATTTATTTATTTATTTATTTATTAACAATTTGAGCACACATACAGAGGTACAAAAAAATACAGATAAGAGCAGATTGCCAAAGCCACTTATACTATGCATAGCATTACGGGCTGGCTTAAAATTAACTTAAGATTAACTAAGCAATGATGAAATCAGTGATAAAACATTAATGTAAACAGATTACTATAAAGCACAAGTGAGTATTACAAAGACAGGTCATATGGTTGCATGCATTGTTGTACATTCAGTCGTATGGAGTATTCTGTTAGGTAGTGTATTTAAAAAATAATAAAGTTAGATTGGGTTTTAGGTTTAACATTTATGTGATATAATTGTGAGAAACATTTAAGATATACAATTTATAAGGTTCAGTTATTCAGTATTTATTTGGTTTTGGGTGAGTAAGTGATCTTTGAGAAGAGACTTGAATTTATAAACAGGTAGTGTTTCTTTTATATTTACAGGTAATGAATTCCAGATTTTAGGGCCTTTATGTGCATTGAGTTTTTGCATAGTGTGAGATGGACACGAGGAAAATCAAAGAGTGATCTGTGCCTTGTGTTATGGTCATGTGTTCTGTGAGGTTGGCAAGGAGATGTTTGAGGGGAGGGTTAATATCAGAGTTAAGTGTTCTATGTATGTAATAGGTGCAGTAATAAGTATGGATGTTTTGTATGGTGAGTAGGTTTAGTGTATTGAATATTGGTGGAGTGTGCTGCCTGTAGTGAGAATTTGTTATCATTCTAACTGCAGCCTTTTGTTGGGTAATTAGTGGTCTGAGATGGTTAATTGTTGAGCCCCATGCACAAATTCCATAGGTGAGATAGGGGTAAATAAGAGAGTGATATAGGGCCAGGAGGGCTGACTGTGGAGCATAGTACCGTATCTTCGATAGTATGCCTACAGTCTTGGAAATTTTCTTAGAAATTTGTTGTATATGTGTATGAAATTTGAGTATTATCAAGGTGGATTCCTAAGAATTTTCCCTCTGTTAGCTTTGTGATAGGTGATCCGTTTATCATTATGTTAAGAGGGACAACTGTGGCTCTGTTACCAAACTGAATGAAGATTTTTTGTAAAAGTTTTAATGTAATTTTGTTAGTCCTCCCCAGGTAAAATTTTTTTCTGAAATTTTGGGTATTTACAGTTTTTGGCTAGGTGAGGGGGTCGGGGGGGAGAAGACTAGAGTGTCTCTGCAAATTGGGGTTTTTTTGATAATTGCAAAGCATTTGGTAGGTCATTTATGTATAGGACAAGAGAAGAGGGCCCAAAGGGACACTTCCCTGTGGGGACACCAACTGAAATTGGTTGTGCGAAAGTTGCCCCTTTTGCGTACCAAATTTTGGCTTCTTTTGCGAGGTTGACTTGAGGTGTTGAGGGGTGCCCTTTATACCTAGTGTGAAAATTTTTAGTGGAGCAAGTCAGGGTCAA